AGGCATCTGTAGTATTAGTTGTAGCAGGAGAATTGCAGAATCCTGTACTCAGATCTCAGCAGATGTGTGATATAGAAAGAAATGTTCTCTTGTTAAAGCTGTATTTAATTTGAACAGTATAGTCTGGCAACATTCTGAGATCTGAAACAGGCTTCAATTTGCTTTAAAAGCTTTATTGTTTATTTGGGAACTTCCACCCTTTTAAGATAACTTGCATTTTTCTGGAAAGCGTAGCTGGGAGTGAAAAACTACAGGCTGAAGCTTCTCTACGTAGTTTCTCATAGTCCACATGAGCAATAAAACGGAGAGACATGAAACAGATGGGGGAGCTTGGGCCTGAGAAGAAGCAGGAGAAAACAAATGGGAAGGGAGTGGTACTGTGGAAGATTTGGGGTGAAAGTGCAAGAAGGGATGGGAATTGGGGGGCTGAGGAGGAGCAAAAGAAAGAGATTGGGGGTGGGTGAGGAGGAGTATAAGGCTGGATCTGTTTGTTGTACAGAATAAAATACAGAGCAGTAATTCCATGTTGGAATTCTGGTAACTATACAACTATGGAGGTTTTGTTCTCCAGGTTAATGGGGTTGCTAGGTGTCTGGTTTTCGACCAGAATGCCTGGTCAAAAAGGGACCCCGGTGGCTTCGGTCAGCACTGCTGAACGGGCTGTTAAAAGTCCAGTTGGCGGCCCAGCAGGGCTAAGGCAGGCTCCCTGCCTGCCCTGGCTCCGCGCAGCTCCTGGAAGCAGCTGGCATGTCGGGCTTCTAGGCACAGGGGTGACCACGGGGGCTCTTCATGCTGCCCCCACCCTGAGCGCCGGCTCCACAGCTCCCATTGACCAGGAACCGCCTGCCACTGGCCATGAACAGAATTACCACCCCATACTTCAGGTATACGCTATTTATGCTGTTTCTAAAACATAGAGGGCCTTGCTTAAGGACTTTAATTAAAAAGTTCCCTTTTAATGGTGGCATATTGAATGAGAGTCTGGACTGTTTGCTGCATAAGTGCCCATCATACAAATGAGACATTCCTTTACCTTAAATCTAAAGTCCTATCTATGCTATAAAGTCAGCTGCATTGGGGAACTTGGTTACAACAGGATAATACTGTTATATCTTGAACAAGGTGTACAAGGTTACATCTTGATCAAGGTTACATCTTGCAGTGCAGGTTTACATCTTGCAGTGCAGCTACCTTCACCAGGAGCTGGGAAAACAGTAAAAATAGAGACCAGTCATGTCCACACTGCAGGAAAGAAACATGTTTGTAACTGTGCTGGGAGACTACCAGGACTTCAGGTACTATATTGATGGACACCGGTGTAAGAACTTGGGATAGATAGATACCATGTCATAACTAGGTCCCCCAACATGGTTGGTTTTGTAATTTAGACAAGATCTACGTTTTCTAGCGTACTTCCCAAGTCTACAGTTTTTTTATTCGTGAATTTGTAGTCTTTGCTCATTTTTCATTTCCAGCATACTTTACCATTCCTACATCATTCTTAACTTGCTGACCATCCCCCATCATATATCAAAAAAGCACTTCATTCTGTTTAATCCACTTCTTAATAAATGCTGAATGTACATAAATGAAATGAGTGTTGCCTGTAAGCATACAGAGCCATAAAACGGACGTTAATGAGACTATTAATGTTGTGAATTAGGGTACATTCAGAAAAAATGATCATAGGCTCGAGTAGAAATTTGCAAATATCTGAATTGGGTACAAGTTAATGATCATGCTGCAGATACAGAAAGCATTCTAGATCACTTATGAGCATAGAGTGATGGCAATATTAATATTAATTAACAGCTGCTTTTTGCTATAATGAAGATATAAGATTGGAAACTGTGGGTGAGAATGCTTTTTGAATTGGATTTTATTTACTGCAACATAAAATTGACTAGACATGTTGTTTGCACATGTGACAGACATGCAGCAAAGCCCACTGATCTGGCTGTGCATTGTTGTATATCCAGATGTTTTTTCAGGGCTTAGTGTAGCAAATGTTCTTTCATTGCTTTAGCTGTCGATACTGACATCTGCCTCAGCATTTCCCTAAGCCATAATTTTAACATTACTTACAGTTTCTGACTCATCATCTATCTGCCATTTAGTCTTTTATAAAATATCATTTAAAAGCATGAAGATTCAATCCCCTATTTAATCCCTTTTGGGAATGCAGAGGGGAAACCTAATTGAGGGAGGGAGATAGATGGCAAGGATCGCTTGTCATTGCCCTTATTTTTTAGTAGGTTATAATTCAGCCATAAAATATTTGCCATGAGCTAATATTTGCCATGAAATTTTGCAGGTCACTTGTTCATAATGTGAACTGTAGTGCTTGTGAGTACTCTGGGTGAAGAGGAACTCGAATGAGTCCTTCATTTGTAAATGTTCTTTCTTGTTAATGTTCGCTACATATTTTCCCCGATGAAAATGTTAGAAGGATTTTAATCATGTAAATTTAGAGAATCATAGATTGAGGGAAGAAGTCTAATCAGCTTGGTATATATGTAAATGTAGTTGAGTTGATAGTTATTAATTGCTTTTAAAAAGAAGTCTCTAAATTCTACACATTAGCAGCCAATAGCACAGAAGCAGCTATTAGTTTTTCTTTGCTACTGTAAGAGTCAATGTTTAAAGTGCTTAAATGCAAGTTTTAAAATAGAAATTAGAGCTGGAAGAGACAGAGGCTACATTTTTTCAACCATGGGTGCCTAACATTAGTTACTTAGATTGTTAGTCATTTGGGGCCAGGAATCATCCTTTTATTCTGTGTTAGTACAGCATCTAGCACAATGAGGTTTTGGTCCATGTCTGGGCCTTCTAGGTGTTACCACAATATAAATAATAATAATAATAATATAAATCCACAGGTGGGCACTTAAACAAGTAACCTGATTTTCAAAAACAACAAGGAGTCTGGTGGCACCTTAAAGACTAACAGATTTATTTGGGCATAAGCTTTCGTGGGTAAAAACCTCACTTCTTCAGATGCATAGAGTGAAAGTTACAGATGCAGGCATTATATACTGACACATGGAGAGCAGGGAGTTGCTTTACCCACGAAAACTTATGCCGAAATAAATCTGTTAGTCTTTAAGGTGCCACCAGACTCCTTGTTGTTTTTGTAGATATAGACTAACACGGCTACCCCCGATACCTGATTTTCAAAGGTTCTAAGCATATACTTCTGCCACTGAAGTGCTCAGCATTTCTATTTTTTATATAGTCCTTTTAATCTTTCTTTCTCAGTAGAGCTGGTCAGAAAATGGGATTTTTTTTTTCTGCAGAAAATTTTGACTTCACAAAAAAACTAAAAAATTTAATCTGAAAACTGGAAGTTTCAGGTTCTGGGTTTTGGATTTCTCATTGAAAATCTGGACTCTTTTTCTGATCTGTTTTTACCTCGCAGATCTTTTAGATATTTCAGTTGTCGCTCGTGAGGACATACTGGACTTATCTTATCCGTTGCTTTCTTTTCCAGGAGCAGGTTCAATTACTGCATGCTAAAGATTGTGCCTGAATCAAAACCTCACATCCAAACACTTCTGAACTTTGTGGAGATTTGGATTCAGATTTGGATCTGAAGACTGTCACTTGGTCCTGTCACTATTTCACTATGGGTTTTCATTTTTCCTATCCTCTTCTCTCCCGCCCCGATATTCTTGCCTTTCTTTATCTGTGTTACATTACTGTGTTGCTTTTAGTTTGTACCTTGTAGTGATGCCTCCTCATGTGGTCCACCTGATTCAATTTCTCAGAGTCTCTCCTGCTTCTGCAAAATGGAAAGCAGCATGTGAATAGGTTAACCTCCTAATTCTCACAGAAGAATGGGAGCATAGCACTTCTTTTTTGCGTTAGTAGCTATTTTGTGTGTAGTTAATGCAGCTTGCTTTTAGTAATGCCCGCTTCTCTTATTGGAACCGGTCAGTGTCTAGACTCTCAACTCTTTCTTCTTGTTTGAACTTTCTTCAGGAACTCACCTTTTCATAAGTCACTAGGTTTGCTGGACTTCTGCTATTATATTCTCTAATTTGCAATTGCAATCACTCACAAACAAAAAGCTGTATTACCATTCCCAATCAAGAAATTCAAGGTTCTTGATTAAGGTCTTCAACCAGCTCTCAAAAAGACTGATTCCCAAATCAGTCTATTTTCCCCAACCACTCAAGGTAAAGAATCTACTCTTGCTTCTGTAAATGCTCAGGAATAACCCATTTGGGAGCTCATCTGTTTGCTGTCTTTCTAAGAAAGTTCTTCTCATGGTTTGTTATAGGGTTTTTGATTCTCAGCTTTGCTCTGTCACTTGTTTCTGTTTGCCCTCTCAACATCTAACTGTCTCACTCAAAGCAAATTCCTTTTTAATAAGAATCACCCTGTTTCCTCCTCTAGGCTCTGAGTGACTCTGTGTGAATTCCTGTTGACATTTATGTTGTTACTATGTATTGAGAAACAAAAATAATAGTACCAGGAAGCAGTAGTTGCCATGACTTTTGAGCAACAAAGTTGCATAGACAGATGATGGTTTTTTTTTTTTTATTTCGTGAAATGGAAATGATAAAATACAAATCCTGACATTACAAATATTACTAGTACAATTGGACAAGTTGGAGTACAGAGAGACAGTATCATATCACTATTAGAGGTGGACTCAAGATGCAAAATTCTGATCTGGAGTGAGATTTCCAACACCCTGCACTGATCAGAAGTGTTCAGGTGCATGGGGTTTGATTCAGGTTCATCTCTTACTTCTGGAAACCGACATAGCTTGCAAATTTCATGCAGATTTCATATACTTGCAATCCCACTGTATACACATTTGAGGAATATAGATTTTATTTCACTTGTACATTTCTCCTAACTTTATGCAGATACTCACATGCGCAGGTACTGATGCATGAACATAAATTTAACCTTAAACTTACCTGTGAGCGTTTATTTATTTTTTCCTTTTTGGTCACGTGATTTTCAGATTTTCACTTCTGTCTTTTCAGGTCAGGATCGCAGTGAAGCCACTTTAATAAAGAGGTTTAAAGGTGATGGTGTCCGATACAAAGCAAAACTGATTGGGATAGATGAGGTTTCTGCAGCGCGAGGAGACAAGTTATGCCAAGATTCCATGATGAAACTCAAGGTGCAGTGTGACTTTTAATGTTTAAGTGTTACAGAATAAAGTGGGGAGAATTTCAGATTGAACTCTTAGTCGTTCTACTTTTATGGCGTTGGGTCAAATTCCCCTTCACTTAGACCACTGTACACACAGGCGTCATAGAATAGAATTTGGCTAGTTCTGTACAAGGTCGTGACTCTGACATTGATAAGTTGGGGCTTCACCAGGGAGTTCCTTCACATTCTGATGTTAGGAATCCAAGATGACTCTAGCAGTGATTTTGGTTTAATCTAGGCCTTTAATCTAACTTCCTCTTTTCCTCCCCCGTTGTTCTCTCCCTCCCCCATACCCCACCTAAAATATGGAGGCTTGGATTTGAGGTGTTGGCCCATCTCTAGTTTCTATAGGCAGAAAAACACAATAGTGTCCTTAATGTGCTCCCTGAGGAGCTCTACAATCTAGGTAGATAACAGACAAGCTGAAGGAAAGGGGCAGGAGGTGACATAAAGCAGCATGAATGAGTAGTGAAGTGCGGCAACACACATCTCGTGGGTCACCAATTTTGTAAATGTTTCCTTACAAGTAAATTGAAAAAGAGCTCTGAGCATTTTGTAATGGTGGGGGAGGGTCTGTTTTAAAGGAGGGCACTTCATTTCTCAAAACAGCATCTGCCACGAGACTCTAATCTGATTCATGTGCGTGTAGGCCCTTTTCCATTCATTGCTTGGTTCCATCTGCCAACAAGCTGTGTGGGAGACCTGTGGCCATTAGGACACGGGGCTAGCCTTTTTTGATCTTTCTCCCATAGGAATGCCATTTCCATGTCTCCAAGGTGCTTGATTCCTGTAAGCGTAATGGACAGACTTGCCTAAGTAACGTGAGGCGATTAGATCCATCCAGAGCAGGTGGTCTCACAAATTCATATGCTTGTCTTTTGAGCTAGAGCTCCTAGCTCTTACTATGTAACATGAGGGAATCATTCCTCTTCATTTTAATATTCATGCCCTTCTGCAGAAGTGTTATGTTACCTTTGACATTCTGGTCAAGCTCCAGTAAAGCCACCCTGGTCTAGTGGTCTGAGTGGGTAACTTGGGAACCAGCGACACCTGAGTTTTAGCACTGGCTCTGGCATTAAGTGGCTGTATGGCCTTGGGCAAGTCACTTAACCTTTCTGTGTCTCAGTTTCCTCATCTGTAAAATGGGGATAATAATACTGATTTCATACCAGCGTAGTCAGGATTAATTAGTTAATGTTTGTAAAGTATTTTGAAGCTGCAAAGCATTAGGCTAAGTATTTTTATTTATTCACAAATGTAATTTGTGACACTGAATCCTAGGCTGGTAGCATTGGTAACTGATAGAAGTAGGACTCTGAAGATGGAAAGAGAAGTTGCTATGTGAGTGCCAGGTTATGTTTCAGCTGTAATAATATGCAGAATGCACAAATAGCAAGTCCACCCACTCGACAGAAGAGTCCAATAATAGGGTAAGTCCACTAGACAAAAGGAGAATAAACAGAAAAGGCACCCCATTTTTTCACTCAAGGCTATTGTTAACTTGCAAAGAAGATCTTTCTTTAAAAATGAAAGGTCAGTTGGCTCATTCTGTTCCATGAACGAGAGAGCCTTTTTCCTCCTGCCTTATTAAAAAACTAAGCAAGAAAAAATAAAATTTGCAGAGCGAAAAAGCCTTCTCGAAATCACAGATTATCTTCAGCTCAATAAGAACAAATTCCAAGGAGGACTGGATGGCTCAGGGAATTGGTAAGAGTTTCTGTGTGGATCATGCATCAAACGGGCTGTGAGGAACATGAAGAAAATTAGTATCGGGGGGAAAAGGGTGGAAGACGATGGTGGGGGGGGGAGGCGCAACCTGGATTGGCCTTTACATTGTGGCTGCATATAGTAAGGAAGAGCTTGTGCTTGATTTTGAGAAGTGCTGAGCATGCCTAGAAGCCAGAAAGAAGCATCAAGTGCTCAACTCCTCTGAAGTGATGCCCCCGCTGTTTATTGTGTGTGGGCATCTACCAGAAAATAAAACAAAAAATAGTGAAATCAACCCAACCCTTCTTTGTCTCAACAGGGAATTGTTGCTGCGACTCGTTCGAAAGGAGAACATAAACAGAAAATATTTTTAACTGTCTCCTTTGGAGGAATCAAAATCTTTGATGAAAAGACAGGAGTAAGTAAAATGATCACATGATGGAACAAACTTGAATCTCGGGATGGATGTATCCGTAAAAGCGTTTCCTAGGTGGGCAGTAATATCACACTGACATAGGAACACATAAACAACAAGGAGTTCGTCTTAAGGTGCCACCGGACTCCTTGTTGTTTTTGTGGATACAGACTAACACGGCTACCCCCTGATATACGAACACATAAAGCATCTGACAGACTTGATAAAGCTTTATCGTATGTCAAAGCAAGCTGTTAGTTTACTCAGGTGCAAGGGAATTACACTAGAGTTTGTTATAGAGCCTGTTCCTGAGTACCTCATGTGCCTACATGTTCTCTGGGTTGGGCCCATAAGGTATTGTGGATTGAGGTGTCAAATAACTGCTCTACATTCAGATCGTGTTGGTTTAGTCTGAAGAGTTGAGGGTGAATATACTTGTATTTTGGCAGGATTGGTGTAGTACATACTAAAGAGCTCCTGTGATACGTTGTTTGCAATTCACATTTAACCTGCTTTAAAATGGTTAAGATATAATGGAAGAAAATACCATCAATTTGCTTGGGAGGAAAATGCAGCTGCGTGTTGTAGTTCTAGCAAAAATAATGGTTCATGTTCCTCCTTATTGTTTGATACTATTTGATGTTATCAATAATTATATTCCCTATTTTCACAAAGCAGAAGTAAAGGTTCTTACAGCAAAGAAATGTGACTATAAAGAACCTGCTTATAAAGACAATTGGCCACAAACAGAAAAGATTGACCATTGTCAGAGAATTATCTCTGTGTAGAAGTTATCAAAGCAAATAGAATTATGCTCACAAATAAGAATGTGGGTAGTTATGGAAATATTAGGTAAATAATAACAAATGATATGCTTTGGATCCTACAGTGATCGCAAAGGGATACGTTCTATGCCCTGCGCATAGCTAGAGGAGCTGGATGAGGACTGGGCAAAGATGAGGAAGGAATTCTCCTTCCCCTATAAGGCCACCAACGATACAGCTACACTCTAGCTTGGGAACATTCTTCCCAATTTGGGTACCCCAACATGCGCTAGCTCTCCACAAGCTAGCCCACTAAAAATAACAGTGTAGCAACTTGGATTAACTGCCAGATTTACGTACCCAGGGGGCTGGGTAGGCTTTTACTCAGGTGGCTAGTCCAAGCCACCGCCCATGCTAGCCTTTGCTATGCTGGTATTTGTAGCATGTTGGCTCAAGCAGAGCTAGTGTGTGTCTGTCTACCTGAGATAGGAAACACACTGCCATCTGCAGTGTAGACATACTTAGTGTGTCTGTAGACTGGCAGCCCCGTAGCTGCAATCCATAATACGGACCACCTATGGTGGGAGGATAGAAGGATCTGTGAATTCCCTGTGCACCCTGCTCCCAAATCTACTTGTTATCTGCATACAACCATACAGTTGGTGCACACAGAGCTAATAACTGCATCACCCTTTGCATTGCTCTCCAGAATCTGGTTTCATCCTTATGCAATCAAGCCATAGTGATTCCAGTGCCATAAGGAGGCTCTAGGACTGCAGAGGCAAGGATGAGATGTACCTAAAACATATCTGTTTTGTTCCTAACAGCAGCTGTCAGATCCATACATTCAGAAGGGGAAAAATCATGATCACTGTCTCACACAGTGCTCCTGTTGACAACAGTGAGGGTGTCCCATTCACTGCAATGACAGGAAAGTAATCATGGATTTCATCAAGCAAACAATTGCCACAAAATTCAGAACTTTTCTAGCGATACATAATCATTAGCAGAAGAGGTTTCTGTCATGTGTATTGGAATGGGGGGGGTGTAGTAAATAGAGATTTAAAAGTATAAGTTTGACTGTTCAGATTTCAAAAAAGCAAAGACTAAAGGCTGGTCCACGAGCATCTGGTATAGTAAGTCACAAGAGATTTCGTCGCTTTGTGCTATTTCTGCCCTGGCATGCTCACATATGATTTTTTCCCCCCCACTGCATTAAAAGAAATCTAAGCAAAACATGATTCCACCTAGAAAATAACGACACAACATTCTGGCAAACTGATTTTGATCCTAATTAAGAAGATCTTTACAGTAGTTGAATCCCTGTCTTGAATTTTAAAAGGTTTTTTATTTAATTTATTAACTATTTAACTATGTAATGTGATGCCAGAAATAAAACCGAGCTGGTGATAGATGGAATTAACTTTGATCATACAAATTAAGTAGCATATAATCATTGTCATTGACCTCATTAGTACATAATATGCCTAGTTTATGATATGGTCATCTGGACAGTATTCTGTATGGACACAAATGCAATACATATACTGTATTACACACAAAAAATGATGTTACAAGGACATAAATAAGGTTGCAAAGCAGAGGTGATGCATGGGGGGTAGCACGACTCAAGCTGTTGGGGGAAGGAGACGAACCTTTAAATTGTGCTCCCCAATATCAGCAGGTATCAGTCATCTGTGTTGCAAAGTCAAGCACTAAAAAAGTTAGGAAATGCCAAAATTAAGATTGCCTTAATTCAGCTACCTTGTGTGTAGATATTATGACAGTCTTTTGTTACATGATCACATGTTTTTTTCAGAGGATCCCTCCCTCACTTAGTGCACAAGAGGAACAATGCTCACATAATGAGCAGCTATTCAATATGTTCTTTTCTCCTCATTGTTCAGTATGTGGCCCCATGCCTTATTTACCACACACTGTTGAAACTTAACTGCGGGGCTCATCAATATATTATCTGAGTGCTTCACAAATATTAATGCACTTATTTTCACAACATGCCTGTGAGGTGAGGTGATATTATTGTGACCAAAAAAGCACCCCTGTATTCACACCACACACACTGTAATAACTCACTTATTATAATATCATGGTGAAATACATGTAGCAACATTATATGAAAAGTTATGAATTCCCCCTATATGATGATACTAGCACATGTTCAATGCCAAACAGCTCTGCCTAGGCAAAAGTAGTTAAAAAGGTCTGTCCTAAACAGAGGAAAGTTTCTTTATCTCAGTTTCTATATAAGTAGTAAACAGAGTCGTCAAGACAGCAGGGGAAGGAGATGGCAGGAAACAGAACAATTTGCATTTTAGTAAATGCAAGTGGGGGAAGAAAGAGCAGGGAGCCTCCTTCACCACCTGACTTAATGTTGCCTTCCTCATGGTTTGGATAAACATTGTTTTGAGGGGTAACCTTCAGAAGAATCCACTTCAAAGGTTCATTGGACTATAAAGGAAAGAGGCAGAAAACCCCAAGTGCTCTGTCTTTCACCTAAGAAGACAAAGGCACCAGCACTTTTGGGCCTCTGGGAGAGATCCTGACAGAAGAGGGTCAGTCACCATCTTGCTGGAAAACTGTGGGTGAGAATGGCCAACTTAAACAAAGCCTTGAACCAAAACTTTCTAGATTGTTAAACTTCTAGATGCTTTTTCACTTTTATTTGCTTGTAACCATTACTAACTTTATTTCTTGTACTTGAATTCGCTTAAAATCCTATCTTTTTGTTAATAAACTTGTTTTATTTTTAATCTAAACCCATCCAGTGCTATATTTAAACTGAGTTGTTTGTTAACTCCACTTGAAGTAACAAACTGTTGAACAATGACTCGTTAAAAGGGCAACAAACCTCAAGATCTGAACGGTCCAAGAGAGGGCTGGAGTGTGTTGGGGTCACCCTGAAAGTAGTAACCAAGGCTGGTGGAAGCCAGAGTGGGGCTATAGACAGGCTGCTGGGGTCAGAGATGCTGACCCAGGGCTATCTTGCAGACAGACACACAGGTTGTGACTGGTAGACTGGTTGTGAGCAGCCCAGGTTGGGAGTTACAACTGCAAAGCATTGCAAGGCACCCAGGGTTACAGGGCAGGCGGTGACACAATTCCTCATGAGTCTGGATTGCATCCCAGAATGTGATAATTATTATCCCCATTTTAAAGATGGGAAACTGAGACACAATATGATTAAGATCAACAGTATCTACTAATTTTGGGTGCCCAATTAGAGATACCTAGGACCTGATTTTTCAGCATACTTAGCATTATATAGTATTTGATATGTTCAAAACATAGCTCCCATTGACTTCAGTCAGAACAGTGAGTGCTCGGTACTTCTGTAAATCAGACTCCAGAGTATCAAGGCAGGTACCCAGAAAATGAACACACAGTTAGTAGCATTTTGATTTAAGTCACTTGCCCAGCATCACACAGAAACTTTGCCATAAGCAGGGATAGAATCCAGTTCTTCAGAGCAACATTCATGTGACTCAGCTCTGAGATCACCCTTTCTCTTCCTGCAATCTCCTGCATCATTCACTACACACTATAAGTTCTGCAACCAATAAAGCAGGGGTCCTATTTCACTACACAGCCTTGATTAATCACCAGAGCAGGTCCATGCACCGAATAAGCTGGGGTCTTGTGGAAAAAGTAGTATTTGATCACGTAATTAAAGACTACATTGTAAGGTATATGCACAAGGGGGTTGAATTTAATTCTGGCATTTCCTAAATTATGAGTGCTTGACTATGCAACATTAATGTTTTTTTAATACACGTTGTGTGTGTGTGTGATTTCCTAGTTTTTAAAGAGCAAACTGAAAAAAAACAAAAATTCCATCATATGGCATCATCTTGACACTCACATGGGTCATCAGCAGGGTTGGAACCTTTAGAATCAGCCACACAGACGTCCGCAAGTTGAGTTAGTGGAGTAGATTACCATCCTTTATATGGGCTGGCACTAAAGGGGATATAGGATACTTTTGCCAGGGGATTTCACAGGTATTTGCTTACAGTGGAGGAATGCTGAGACTCAGGAACCTTGGGTGCCATTCCAGGCTTTGGAAGTGTGGGGTGCTCTAGTGGACACAGACTCTTCTATCCATTCCCCCGTCTGCTCCATTCCTTTCAACTTGTCCTTGTCCCAGTCTTGTTTCTTTCCCACCCTTTGCTCCTCATTCTGAGTCCCATTCTCCTCACTTCGTCCCAACCTTCAGGCTTC